GGCGTAAACGGAAACACGCTGTCAATGATGGGCTTGACATTTTGCGCCTCCAGAATGTCGGCGACGGCCTTGAAATCGACCGACTTTGGGTCCGCCAGCAGCAAATGCACGTTCGGACGGTATTGGCCGAGGCCCAAAAAGTGACGCAGCCACAACGAAATCTTGCCGTTGATGGCCACGTACGTGCCCTTCTCGTTCAGGACCGTCTGCGAGTCGACGAGGTAATCTTCGCCGCCACCGGAGGCCGACGCCGCGTCGTAGACAAAGTCAAAGTGCTGAACCCACTCGGGGTCCGTGATCGACTGCGTCTTGTAGTCGATGACGCGGTCGGCGCCCAGCGAGAGCACGAGCTCTTCGTTGGCCTTGGAGCAGACGCCGACAATCTCACGCGCGCCGAGACCCTTGGCGAGCTGGATCGCAGCCGTGCCGCAGCCGCCGCTGGCGCCGAGGATGAGGAGCGACTGGCCCGCCTTGAACCCATGGTTGACAAGCGCCTGGTAGCCAGTGATGTAGGTCGTCGGCAAGGCGGCGCCTTCAATAAAGGTGAGCGACGCCGGGAGGATTGTCAGCGTTGAAGCTTGGCAGAGTGCGTGTTCTGCCAGCGACCCATGCGTGCTGCCAAAGACACGGTCGCCAACCGCCAGCGTCGTGACATCGGGGCTCACGGCCGTCACAACGCCAGCAACGTCAAGACCGACGCCCTTGCCTTGCATGAAAAGCGCCGGCAGCTTGTAATCTAACATGAGAGGATGCAATGTTGAGCGTGCCGGGCAAAGCGGAAGGCTTCGACGTACCGACGGGGTTGATGGCCGCAGCCTTGACCTGCACGACGACGCTGTCCTTGGCGCCGACCACCGGCTTCTTGGCCTCGGGGTTGAACCAACGACCGTTGGACGTAAAGAAGCTGTAGAGCACGGCGCGCATGTTTGAAAATGAGAGCTGCCACGGAATGAAATGATGGCGTCATCCGGATACACGTACCCGGAACAAGTGTCCGATACAAATCCCAAATGCAAAATGCACTTTCTGGATCGCAAAACTTGCGTTTGATTAGCCAGCGCGCGCGATGACTTGATCACGTTGGTGGACTAATCGCCGCGCCGGTGGTCGTGGGACGGGGTTTGAACGCAGAATAAACCCGCTCCGTTGCGTCAACATGGCAACGAGCGAATCGATGGCGCACAAGGCATGCTGTCAGCACCGATGCTGGTTCGCGCCCACGTGGCCGGGAACATGGATGGCACGACGAGGCAGCTCTGCGAGCTCAGGCGGTTATTCCCTCGCACTGCGACGATGCGCAGATTCGGTCCATATCTTTGCATTGCGCAGGGCTGCTAACGGTCGCGAAGGCGGCCTTTGGTCGCTGGACTAGGATGCATGCGGGAAACCATGGCCGTTAGTCCCGAGCACGGAGCCAATGTTGCAAACGACAAACGTTGAAGGTCTCCCAATGGGTCTCCTCATACAAAAGCTTCTCGAGCTGAGAATATGAGCTATGCAATTGATGTAGTGTACGGATGGGCGAGTGAATAGGGCAACGGGTGGGCGAGTGTGGTGCACAAGGGTCACACTGCGTTCTCTAATTCTTTTACCAGC